CCCCGGCCCGGCGCCGCGGCCAAGGGCGAGTCCTCCGGGCCGGCCTCTCGCCTGCCCCCGAGGGCAGGGCTGGCCCGGAGGCGGAGGATGGAGCTCCTTCCCCAGACCCGACCCACACACCCGCCCGCACCCGGGCAGCCCCTTAGGCTCCGAGGATTTGAGGTTTTTTAGGAAAAGCCAGCCTGGGAGTGGCGGTGGCTGGAGCAGGACCCGTCCCGCAGCGCTGCCCATCGTCCCGGCCTTACCGCGGCAGCGCCAGCACAGCTCGGACTTTGAAAGTTGCTTCTTCCCCCGATCACGGCGAGTTTGGTCCTCGCTGGAAGAGCAGAGCGAGGTTGCCCCCTCTCTTCGGAAGGAGTCAGATGTTGGTGTGCGCAGCCCTTCCCCAGACTGACCCATTCCTCTCCAGGAGCCTCTGACAAGCCAGCGATTGCCCCATTTGTCCCACTTGCCAGACTAACTAAGAAAAAACCCATTTCTGCGTGCCTTTTGCTTTGCTGTTCGTAGTCATTCTGTAAATTAAACACAGAGGATCTCTTTTACCCTGGCCAGTACCTAGCAATGGGTCACTGATGGTCACTTGAGGGTGGATGTGCATTCACAGAACGGCTGTGGCAGCCTGAGAGTTGCTTGGGGGGGTTCTTTGGATGATTGTGGACACACAGATGGGTGCTCACCAGTGCTTTTCCCTGTGTTCAGGTTCCCATCAATCTGCATCCATAGGTAGAGAGCAAGAACATACCAATACTATTGTTTTCTGACCTTTAACACTGCTAAAAACAGCATTACCTGTTTTCAGCACCTTTCCACTTCTTACCTGCCCTGCTCCCTTTTATGCCTCACAGTCCAGCTCTTACCCAGACCTTTCTTACAGCATTTCTAGCACAATATTTGAAAACACCCTAAAATAACTCTTTTAACCTTTATTATGATAGATCCCCTCTGATTTCTTCTGGCAATAATTTATCCACATATTCAAGCTAATTTTTCCCTCCCCAAATCTCATCCCACTCTTCCCTATGTCTCCATTGATTATGTCACTCACAGTAATGCCTTTGTATCTCCAGCCATCCCTTTTCTGGAGCCTGAAAGCTTCTGAGCGATGCTGTCAGCGAGTGGAAAATTCAAGGAGTTTGGTTTGGCCTGTGTAAGGAGCTGATAAGAATTTCTCACACATCAAATGGGAAGAGAGTTAAAAGACAATGGAATGTTCTTGCTTTGTATCTATCTGATGAGAAATAAAACTGGGCTGGGAATACATTTAGTAGGGCCATGCTGGTGGTGGATGTGTCTCAAGGGTTTGGGAAGCAGCCAGAGCAAGGCAGGAAGCCCCATCTGGCTGCAGGAGCCACGGTGTCCTGAAACACTTCATTTTGAGGCTCACCTCAGAAGGAAAAGGGGATCCATCCAACTTTGTGCTTGCCCCTGCCAGCTGCAGCTCTGCTCTCCTCCCTCTGCTTACACTAAATGGCACAACTCAAGGTTTTATGTGCAGAACACTGACCACACTTAGCACTTTACTCTTTAAATTGGCTAATTCTTCCCAAATTGCAATAATTTGTGCAGATTCCCTCAGTTCCCCAGTGAGCTACTAACTCCTCAGATACAACTGTTTCACAAAGTTAAACATTTATTAGAAACAAGAACTATTACAAAAAAGATATCTATAGTCTAAATATATACATGAGGTTTAAACATAACATTTTCATGTACCTTTAGCTATAAAAATACATTAGATTAACTGTATCCTAATTTATAAATATAGTTCTTTTCTTTTAAAAAAACAACTAGTACTCATATGAAAGCCTTACTGTGCAATGGAGGAATATATATACCCTCTAAGGGGTTATTTTAAAGTTAGTGTCTAGTGTTATATAACTTAGAAAATTCAGTGTGTAGAGTCAAACCCTGATTTATACAATAAGAGATACATTGACTTTTTAAAAACTTGATAAGGGGAAAAATAGTGAAATATATATATCATATATATAAAGCCAGAGAAGTAAGATTTAAAGAATTTCAGATTATTTCAGTTTCCACCACTGTTTATCGAAAATACAGATATATCAAGATAGCCAGCCTTTTACTGTTTGCCTCACCTCCCTACTGTCTGGCTGCAGCCCAAGGAAACCCTCAGGGGGGCAAAAGTAAAATTTTGTCTGAGAAGATGTTTGCACTCTTAAGTGTCTTACAAAAATAGAAGCTTATTTACAATGATCCCATTTAGCCTTTCATGGGGAAGGGAGGACATTTTCATCACTGGCTGGGGAGATTTACCTGCCTCACACCCTGTGGGAGGACAGGCTCCTGCTTACTGTTGGAGGTATGTCATGTCAGAAGTGAAGTGATGCTGAAGTGCAATTTCAACATTCAACCAACTTATAAGGAAGTTTAGGCTCATGCAAACTTCTTTCCTTACTTATCGCCACCCACCTTCCTTCCTCCTCCAAAAAAAGCTCCACTCATGCAATAGAATTTGTTGCTGTCTGAGCCTATCTGTGAGCAAAGGAAGGTACTGGGTAAATCCTGGCTTGCAGCAGAGAGGTTAGACCTGCATTTCTGCTTCAAGCTCTGACATCTGGAGCAGCAATCCTTATCAGCGCTCCCTGGAGATCTGCTGATAAGCCATAAGGAACCCGGTGGGTTTGTTCTCAGAGGACAATCCCAGAGGGATCACTGAACTTCCTAACAAGCTGTCACCACTAACTCCTGCACACTCACAGCTCCTGCAGACATGGCTGTGCCTTTGTCAGGGTTCTCCAGCAGAGTCAGGGGAAGAGGAGGAGGGAGAGCAGTGAACCCAGGAACTGAAGATAGCCTGTGGCTTGTCATTAATCTCATAATAATTAATCTCCTAATAATGTCTGAGCACGCAAAGAAGTTACTGCAGGAGGTGATAAGACATGAACATGTGACAGCCACTCCATGGACAGCTGTGACCAAGGGACAACCCAAGGCAGTTTTCTCAGGGAAGGATCAGCTACTCTGTGCTGGCCACGAGATGACAGCACACACAGGGACAATGGCTGAGAAGCTGCTGACAGACTGAAGTCCAGCCACAGCTTATTCCATGCTAACTGGCTTGTACACCCTCCTCTTTAGCACTCAAGGTGTCCTTGGGAGCCCCTGCCTTCTCACACTGCACTTCCAGGAACGTATTTTAAGCTACATTCATATAGGATAAAGAAGCAGTGTGAAGAGCTTGTAAGTTTTACTCTCATAGTAATAGTTTTGGCTCAAAAAGCAAAGAGATGTTCAAAAAGCCTGAAAGTTGCAGAGAATGAGAGTGTAGGATAGTTTCCTGCAGCTCTTCTGCTCCCTCCCCCAGATCAGGACTGGTATGGGGTGTTTTCTGTGGGATATCTACCATGCTACATGCTCAGCATCCAACTCGATGTCACCACGGTAAGTGCAGTGCAAAATCCTCTTGAGAAAAGTGCTGTAGTGAAGGTTTGAGATACAACTGGGACTCACTGGGAGCCAGAAGGGTCAGCAAGTCAGGAACTTGCATTTGCAGCATGTGTAGTGTGTGCACACCCAAACATCAGGTTCCAAGGACACTTGAAAGTCTGGCTCTGTTGGGTGACATACTGGCCCCAAAGGAGTCCTCTAGGAAACTCCCACAAATCTCATTCAGGGCTAGAATATCACCAGGATGGAGAATGCATATATCTTTAGAGAGACCATGATAGCTCTTTCAAAGAGAACTTCCTTACAGATCCTTCCATGAAAGCTTGCACTCCCATTCCAAACTCCAGCTGCAGTCTTCACACAAACTCCACCAACTCCAGTCAAGTTGTTCTAACCCTTATCACTCGAGTCCATCTCTGCCAAGGGAAACCCAAGTGCCTCTGAAGGTATTTGCCAGTACCTTTGATGGTACCAGCAGTCTCTCTAACATGCCAGTGATGTCCACATCCTTCAGGGGTACAGTTTGGAAGCAGATGTCCTGCCAACACTGTGACTGACCAGCGTCTGAGTCACAGGGAGCAGGCAGATGTACAGCCAGGGACTTGTAGAGTACAAGTGTGTACTGCCAGTAGGGTCAGTGGATCAGTTTTTGAAGAGTCAGTCGGCAAAATGGAGTCCAGTAGATTCAGTGTTTCTAGAGGAATAAAGACAGGTGTTTCCATTTTCCTTCCCACCCCTCCCCTCCCCCTTGCTCTGAACACGTCCCCCATGTGTCACATTCAGAGTGTCAGCATTTTAGGCCTCCTGTTTTCATGGACTCTTCTGGGAGAGTTTAATGGTGACTGTTTTCACTTCGGTGTATTCTGCCAAAGCATATTCCCCACTGCAAAAGAAAAGAGGAGGAAAGGGACAAACAGTTGTCGAATGTTAATGTGTATTTCCCTGAGAGAGTTGTACACATGTGCATTTTTGACATCAGGTCATTAAAACCAGATCTGAACAATTTACACCAGCTATCCACTTGTCCCACCACTTCTAATAACCACCAAGTACATGGACATAAGTACATACAATTACATCCTGTTGTGAAAGAAACACAGAATGCTTTGGTCACTGTAACCCACAAGATGACACTTTTGACTCTGCTTAGTGCAAACTGAGTGCTGCTGTAGAGAAGCCATACAAGAGACAGCCATGTACACACAGTTATTGCTGCTCAGACAGCAATTAAAGTCACTTTTTTCACCAGAAGAAAGCTTCTATCTATCTACAAGATACCATATCATCAGGAGGGCACAGTTGCTCTAGAAATGCATACTGATGAGAGAGCCCACCACTACATTATGCCTTGGTTGGTGATAACTGGCTCGGTTCCCATGCCTTTCCCATGGGAAACTTCTGACATCCTTTAATTAGCCAGGCAGTCAGGCAAAGCAAACCATAAGGTCTCAATACATATCTATGTCCCATCTGAGGATTCATTTATTTGCTGTGCTTAGCAAATGAGGCACCTGAATGTCTCGGAGCAGCAGTTGTACCAGAACAGTTACTGGAAATGGTTTCTGGGATTAAATCTGGCTTGTGAAAGAAAAGGTCTGTTAGATTCCTCTGAGGAATCTGCTGAATGGTCTAAGAAAACCTGTCTCCTATACAAGAATTAAGATTTAAGACAATGTCTCAGCTCTGTGTCTAACTCATGGGGTGACCTTGGCTTAAAAATGTCAGCTTTAGTAACTATTAAGAGCAGAAGTGTCTGGGAGTCCCACTGTAACAGGCCAGGCTGGGGAAGAGGGACAGAGGGTTCTTCTGTAATTTAGCAGCAACCCTGGAAGTGGGGGATGCAAAAGATTGCACTTGAACAAGGAGCAATGATACAGCAGCCAAGAGAGGCACAGACACCACCATGGAAAGATGGAGCAGCTTTGGGGTGGATACCAGTGTCCCCAGCCATGGTGCCTTACTTCTCCCTTCATTTAAAAATCTAACTAGTATGGAAAAGTGCTTCCAAGTGGACTTGACTGAACTGGAGCTATTAAAAGCTTATAAAGCAGATGAAGGTGCTCCTAAAGGAGTGCTTTACATCCACGCTTTACTGGCTTAGCACCTCCCTATGGAGCATACTGCAAGCCTGATTAAACTTTAAAAGCAAATTCAACAGTGTTTTCACAGTCACAAATGTTATTGCATTCACCACCCACACAGAAACAAAATATTGAGCAAAACTTACAGTTCTCTGCCATTGCCTGACATTTTAAAGCCACCAAAAGGAGCCTGAGCATAGAGCGCATTGTGACAGTTGATCCTATAATAAAAACATCAATTTTAAAAAGACAATTCAATACCAAGGAAAAGCAAGATGATGACAACAGCAACAATACAATAAAAGGCTGAAATCTCCCCATTTTCTCTTTCATACAATTCAGTCACTTGAGTAATCAGATTTTTGCAATAAAATCTTCTTTTGCTGCAGAAACAGAAAACATCTGAGTAGTTCTCAGTCTGACCTACATCTCACTTCATGTCCTCTAATGGCAAAGACATTCATGCTTGAGCTAGAATTTATGTCATATTCAGAGTCATGATTTAAATAAATAATCCAAGCTATTCCCTAATTTATTAAGCACATTCTGAAATGAACATGTTTACTCAGAAAGCTGTCTAAACACTCACAATGAGGCCCTAGCATCCCCTTCCAGGTAGAAAAAACATTTGGACCGTATCAGACAACTGTGTCACAGTAAAATAAAAGCACTGGACCCATTTCTATAGATACTTGGTAGAAAAAGCTGATGCAGACACTTCCCCAGCATCTCAGTAAGATCAAATGACTGAAGGTCATACAGCAAAGGTATGGCTTTTGCTGTAGGTGTGCACCTCCATGTGTGTTCAGGACATGTGTCCTTCAAAGCCCAACATCCCATTTTTATGTAAATATTTGAGGCTGATTCTTTTGGTGCCAACTCTTGAAATGAATCCTTTGCATCAGGATCAGACACAAGATCAACTTCCTGTCTTGAGTGGGGAAAAAAAATCAGGATTCCATCTTTAAAACCATTCTAACACAAGAAATTTTGTATGCAAAAAAAATAGCTGCTTTTCTTTGTGACAGTGGTGTGTTGCCACCTACTGTCCATACTGGTTTGTGCAGCAAAATCCCATCTGGTGCTGGCTAAAGGTCATGAGAATTGCTTTTTCCTACATACAGGTTTTTGGAAGGCACCCTTTTTTGTCGAACTTACTACAACCCCAACAAAGAAATACCTAGACTGAAGGGAAAAACAGTCCATTTCTCGACATGCTGTCTGGGCCTCACCACCTTACTTTGAGGAATGGATGTTGCTTCTGAGCAGAACATCAAGAACTAGGCAGGCTACTAATACATCTTATCTCCAGCTTTTAGAGAATCACAGATATTCTGAGCTGGGGGGAACCACGAGGATCATGAAGTTCAACTCTTAAATGAACAACACATACAGGAACAGAGTCCACAGCCTTATTAGCAACTTTATTATCTTACTAACATGATTACAAGTTCTAAATCCCTCTCCCCTCCCAAGAAACAAAGCCCCAGGCCACTGTCTGTTCCCAGCCTGCTCACCATACTGTTCCTGACTGCAGAGCTGAAGCCAGGGTTAAGGCTCTGTCCAGGTTCTTGGTGAACACCGCAGCTGTGAGTCCATACTCGGTGCTGTTGGCTCTTCTTATCACTTCTTCTATACTCTTGAACTTCATAATTGGCTGAACTGGCCCAAAAATCTGCACATATCAATTAAACTTTAGTGCAGGAAAGCATCTACTAATCATGGTAATTTTGAAGTAATCAGAATCAGATGCTCTGTTTGGATAATATATTTAGAATCTTATATCTTAGCCTTCTAGGGGTTATTGATAGAGCATCTTAAAAACTACTAATTAAACTTCAAAGGAAGCATTGTGATGTGCTGTAGTAGTTAATAAATGTTAAGATCCAACAAGTAATGGATCATCTGTAACAATCAAAATAAGCAGAGTTAGATCTGGACAAGTTACAAATGATTCATCCTCACTCCATTTACAACTCTCTTTTTGAACTCTGAAGCTGAGTGTACTCAAGTAACAATTAATTTATTTCAAGGACTGCAAGTTTTCTTCCTTGGTATTAACCCTGTTTTTGTCACTGTATGCATTTTATTTGCATGCAGTGCATTAGCTACATCTGTGTTTGACCACAGACTTGGCTTTCCAGGTTGTCAGCAGAGGCAACAGTCATACAGAAGGCTTCCCAAATTTTGGGATAGAGTCTCTCACCAGGTACAGTATCAAAGGTGGAGCCCTTTCTTGGTCTGCAGGCTCTCACAGCACAACAAAGCCCATTGAATGTGAGATACAGATTCATCTGGGCCACTTTTAAGCTCATACAAGGGTTTCTACATGTCTTTGTTTTGGGATATCCAGGCTTTTACGTGGAGCCTCAATCCCAGGCAAAGGATGAACATGCATTTGCAACAAAACTGCCAGTGAATGGAACTGGATAAGCTTTGTGAATCATGGCTTGGGATTTGGAGTCAGTTCATTAAGAAAAGGTCTGTCATGGGATTTTCAGCTCTTTTTCTCTCTATTTTTAGCATGTAACTCATGCCCTGACTGATATCTTTCCCAGGTTCCTTAGAGATTCTATGGCAGATCTGAGACATTTAAACATCTTGCCAGGAGTGAACAGCAAGCAGGCCCATAAAAAGCACTAAGCTAAACTATAAACTACAAATGCCAGTTAGACTTTGGCAACTACTTATTTTCCATTAGGGAACATGATGAAAAGTAGATTAACTTCTATTTCAAAGGAATATCACAGGATCTAATCACATGCAGCTTGTTCAACATTTCTGCATATAAATAATGAAAGCCAGAGTATTAGATCTGCACTTTGCTGGCTTTGACCATGTTTTCATATAGGAAAGAAACAGTCAGTCTCAGGGGATTTTGCCATGAGAATGGAATCTGGGATTATTTCAGATGCTAAGTCTGCTTCAGAGAACTTCAGTGGCTGTTGCTTTGCTCACTACCAGCATCAGATCCCAGAGTTCTTTTCCCACCTTTCTGCAGTAAAGCAACCCCTTCTGTACAAAGCAGTAGAACAAGAACACACATTACACTGTCCATTGTCACTGGCAATTACAGGGTAAATAATTGCTCCATCCTCCATGGCATCAGTTATTTTTACTCAGTTATTTATATTTAAAATTAAGGATTCAGACAGAACCCCCTCCCTCACCACAATTTCTGATTCTGAAGCAGCATTTTTCTAGGCAATTGTACTGTACCTCTTCTTTGGCAATTCTCATGTTGTCAGTGACCTCTGAAAACACTGTGGGTTTTATAAACAGGCCTCTGTCTTCAATGGCAAGACCTCCACACTCCAGTTTAGCCCCTTCTTTCTTCCCACTTTCTATCAGCTCCAGGATTTTATCAAACTGTTTTTGGTCAATCTGTCAGACACAAAAGGAAAAGAAACAAACAGCAGCACCTTTATTATCATGGTTCCAGAGAGGAGTCATGGAATGTGGCCCAGGGGCTTGTTTGCAGGGCACTGTCAAACTGGGTCAGTTTCCAGCTCAGTTTAGGATGTGGCAGCCAGGCAGTGAACAGGGAGAAAGACATGCCATGGGCATAGCTCTGAGCCACAGAAGGTGAGGTGACATGTGACAGTTTCATCCAATCTAATAGTTGGCTGCCACATGGAGGGTTCTCCCCACTTTTTGTTCCCTCCTGTCCTGGATATGTGCTCCCACAGCTCACCTCACTCAAGCTCTGGGATTTGCTGGCCTTTTCCAAGCACTGGTTTATCTCAGTAGCAGTATGAGAACAGCCTGAGATGGACTAGAAAGCTCATAAGGGATCTGACCAGCAACAGAATCAGTACAGGAGAGGGAGGCCCTGGATAAACGAGTTATTAACTCAATTTTGCTGCAGTGTGCAGCTTCACCTACAGCTCTCTGTCCCTAGCTGGAAGAACCCAGAGAGCTCTGCCTCCGTCTCCTTCCACAGTGCACACTACATGAACAGCCTCAAATATAGGCCCTGTTGGTGGGGGTGACTTCACAACAACTGCTGCACCAAAGCCTTGCTTTTGAAATCAGAATCACTTTTCACAGTTCTTAGAGACTGGTATAGTCCTGCAGTTTTCTTCTCTGCACTGGGAGCCACAGCTTCACTTTTGATTACCTCCTCCTCCCAAATATGGAGCAATCTCAAATAGTGAGTGTTGCTGTCAGCTTTTAACCAGAGATTTCTGTAGGGGTGGGGAAAGGCCAGTCCAGTGACAGGACCCCAAAGCTGCACAGCTGCACCAGGACTTGGAGGACACATCATGTACTCCAGAAGCAGAGTGTGTCCTGTGCTGGCAAGAGGTACAGAAGCCCACAGCACTTCCTATCACTGCTGATCCTTCTTCCACACTCTACCTCTGCAGCAGTGGGCTGCAGAACTGCAGGTTTCAAACAAACACACCTGGCTCTTGACATGATTTGGAATTAAGAGATGAAACTTCTCATGACAGCATGCTGGAGATGGTAAAAGAGTTACAGATATGTTTTTAAAAAGAAAAACTCAACAAAAAGCTCAAAAAATTTATTGAGGTGATTAAAGAAAATACTCCACCCACTGGTACAAGGTGTCCTGGAAGCCTGGGGGGTTATTCTGGTTGCCAGGTATCTCCAGATGCTTGTTCTGGCTCAATCCCCCTCCCTAGGCATCTGGTTTTATTTCAGCAGGGCCAGTTGCCAGTTGGGACTGTTTACACGTAGTGTTCCACACTTGACTCCTCCAGATTACAGACTATATCCTGTCCCTAGTTAATCCTGGCCACACACAATCCAAGTTTTCATGCTTTTAGACAAATATCAAAGCTGCAGGAGGGTGTCCTTGGGGTACTTTTGGTACACAGTGGAAACAGAGCCCAGCACATCTCCAGGCAAACAGATGTGTGTGTAGCACACACACTGTGGGCAGCATGTTTTAAGTGCTTGTGTTCTCTAATGTGTTAAGGTGCTACCCAAAGACACAATTCATGCTACTGCCCAAGGAAATGTGTGCCCTCCTGGAGGATACAGTGTCACACTGAGTTTGGCAGGTGTCATACACATTGTCTATTTGTCTGGTTGCTTAGTTGCCAAGTGTAAATAATTTGAAAATATCTGCAAGTGCTTTCCATGCTGGCATGTCTGTGATCCAGACCAATCCAGTCCATCCACTTCACATCACAGAAAACAAAACAAGGATATTTATACAGCTGTAACTTGTTGCAAGGCAAACTACAGTTAGATGAAAAGACACTGGGGAAAGAAAACATTTGTAAAAATGACATGCAAGGGTGGAACTGTTTGTCATTGTAACTAGAGCTTGCAAGGCTTGTTTAAATTCTGTCCCCTACTCCACTATTATTTATGGTTCAAGCACTGAATTCTATTAAAAACACATGATCTGGTAAAGCAAATTCTACTATTTGTTCATCTAATTCAATAGAGAAGGGAGCTTCTAAGGATCACTGCAATACTGAAAATCTGGGAACCCCCAAATCTTCATCTCTTGCTTCATTTCAGTCAAGACCACAAGGAGAATTTTTCCCATGTGTAAACCTAGTATTTGTAATCCTACAAAATAGACCACAACTGGGTCCAACAGACTGTTGGACACAACCCTTTCTACTTAAATGTTTAATTCTCACACTTTAATCCTAAAGTGCATGTCTACAGTATAAGGAAAATATTCATCATCTTATAAATCAAATTATAAGTTTTGGGCTGAATAATTACTGGCTAACAAGCGCCACAATTAGTGCTAGTTTTATTTCTGTAGACTAGGTCTTGCAGTCCACAAATTCCAGTATTTAGAGTTCTAAAATAACAAAACTACTCTAGTCTTGTTCTAATCTAATCCCTGTTCTAGTGCCCCAGGATGTCAGTCTCATCTAATGCAGTTTGCTGTTCACAGCTGTATAATGCACTGGTTAACCAGTTTGCCATCTGTGCAGATTTATTTTATTGCTTCCTGTGATACAGCGCCCAGGAATTCAAAGTTCAAAACTGCCCTTGGTCTGCATTTGAGGTTGGCACTCTGCTCAAACAGTCCTGATCACCCCTCAGGTTTCTTGTGGTGTCCTTTGAATTCCAGCCAGTCAGCACTGCCAGACACATGTGAGTTTTGGAGAAGTCTCATCAGAAGCATGCTTCATTTCTGTCTAAATTTAATGCTGTTTAAAGCTGACCTAATTTTAATCACAGCAGTACAGTTTATATCAGCATAACCCAATACTGCAGCTGACACAGTCTTTTCCCCACTGCCATGCCATGTGAACAGTGATCCACATCAGGGGACTGCCCTGTGTAAAACTGTTCCTCCTCACTTCCAAAAAGGCTGGATTAGACCTGAATCAGCCAGTTCCCTAATCTACTGCAGTGCAATGTAGGAACAAACAACTGCACATGGGACCACTTTTGCAGGACTAGCTTATGTCAACTTCAAGTTCCTGTGGAACAGGGTTATCATCACCTACAGCTGATGTAGGACCAGAGAGATCATGAGCTACAACCGCTGTCTGCCTGAAGGTTGGCTTCAACCCCTTCCCCCTGTTGGCTTCTAAGCCAGTGACCAACTCACAATGGGGATCACTGCTTGTATATGCTCACCCTGACTCACACCAAAGGAGAATGAAAGCAACAGGCAGGGTCCAAAACATCTGATGAGGACAGATTAAGAAGACAAATTATTTTTCCTGGTGATTCTTCTCTTATCCATCAGTTCAAGATTAAAAAAACCTCACAGGTTACTTCAGGAACAGGAAGGAAGAAATTATCTGGAAGCTTCACATTTGAAGAATAACTTGTGGACAGGCACAAATTTTTGCTACTTTCAGAGGTATTTTTAAGTCCTTGTGACACTGCATCATTTCTCTCCTCTGCTTAAGTTTCTGTATGTGCCCACAACATAGGCTCCAGAGAGTGAGGAGCCAAAGCTGCAGAGGAAGAGGTTGTTCTTTGAACTGGCAACCACATAAAAGTTTTGGGATTTACAGTTTCCTCCCACTCCCTCAACACCTTCCCATCCTGGCTTTGACAGTTGTATACATAAGTTCAGGTGTGTGTGGGTGTGCTTTCTCTCCCACAACAGGTAAGCCAGAGCAGGAAAAAAGGACAGATGGGCCACAGTTAAAATCTGACAAGACAGTGCTATTCCGACTTGCTGTTGCCCTTAATTACAGGGGGTAATTAATGTATGCAAATATGCAAAAGGTCTGCCTTAAGCCCCATCAGTGATCCCAGAGGATGGAGCTGGGCCATGGTGCACCCTGGAAGTGCTCTGACAGCCTGGCAAGAGCTGAGAACACTGATGAACACTAAAAAACACTGAAACAACACTAAACAAGCCCAGTTCAACATGCTCAAATCACTGCAGGGTGCTTCACCCTTTAAAACTAACAACTGAATAGTTTCAGGAGCTGTTCTCATGAAATCAGTGTTTGAGGGTTAGCTCATCTGTGCTGGAGCAAGTCTCAGCATGGGATTCTTTTCCTAAGAGTCCTGAGCAGTTTGAAATCAAAGTTACAGGGCTAGATGCAGCCTCAGCATGAGCAAGGCATGTACATCATCTTATTCCCCATGCATGAGGGCAAGAAATGAGGTTTTGCCACGCATCAATCATGTGCAGATTCAGATCCAGATAAGGAGAGGCAGATGTCCTCAGAGCCACCCCTTCTCTGAGGAATCCTACACAGACAGAATCAAGGAAGAAAAACCCACAGTGCAGCACTGAGAAAAAGAGGCCTTGGCTATAGGTTTCTGGGAGCCTTGCTTTATTTTTGGTACCAAGCAGTGGGCCTGTTAGAAGATCTGACCTAAGGATCATCTTCCCCCAGAGCTCTCCAGCACAACTCAGATTGCCTCAAAAGGAAAAACTAAGAGGAAGGCTCTGGAAGTATTGAGGAGGCTGGTTCTGACAGCAGTTTGGCATGTTTCTTCCTCCTAATTCAGCTGAAACTTCTCCAAAGGATCAGAAAGGCAGCAGAGGAGGAGAGGGAAAGTGAGGACTCAGGAGTCTCTGGGCTCTAACTGCTTGTCATCACCCACACAGCCAAAGGAGCTGAATAGCCATTTAGCTGCACTCTTCTGCACAGAGCTATGGCTCACTGCAACATGCTTTGTGTTACTGTACCAGGGAGACAGGCCCTTCTATAAAGCTGGATAAGAACACAATTAAATACATTTGTGTTTTTTTTAAAAAATTACAACATAACATTTCAACAGTTGTGATTAATTGATATTTAAAATAGAGAGAAAAAATAAAGCCACGATACATTACTCACCCCTCGGCACTTCTGCTGGGACCGCATCCGTAAGGATAATATTTACACAAGGAAAATTAAACAAAACCACAACCAAAAACCAAACAACAACTGCTCTCAGACACACAGTTACCTGGGGCCCTTGTTCAGTTCTGGCATCAAAGGGGTCTCCAACCAGTCTCTTCTTGGCAAACTCCACGCTGCGCTTGACAAACTCGGGGTAGATCTGCTCCTCCACGAAGACGCGGGAGGCAGCTGTGCAGCACTGCCCCTGGTTGAAGAACACGCCTTGGTGGGCACATTCCACTGCCAAGTCCACTGTGAAGTGACCCAGGATGAAAAAGTGTTACCACATGAACAGTTGCAGCATTCCAGGGTTTCCAGACTTGTTGTTTTCCTTTCTCTTTGGAAAACCTCCTTAAAAAATGCTGACCGTGGTCCACACCCATAGAAGGCACTCACAGGGCCCCAGTGCCCCCAAACCAGATCTTTTATTGTATCCATCTCCCTTCCTGTCTTTTGTCTTGAGGTCTAGCTGGCCATAGTTCCTGATACTTTCCTCACAAGGACTCACTGAAGGCAGTGACCATTTTTTCTTGCTGTGGAGATTCTTAATACCATGCATTGGTTCTTAAAGACAAGTTCCATTTGTGACTGTTCAGAAAGCAGCATGCCAGCTTTGGCCAGCTCCTTGCAATGCTCACTATTAGCAGCTGGCACAAATACCTCTGATTTTCAGCCTGTGCTGTGCAGGACTGGAAAGGATTTTCCTGAAGCCAAATAGGATTTTCCAACCATTTTGGTGGTCAGAGGTCACATCACTCAGAGGTCTGAGTGATGTAACAAACTTGCAATGAAACACACAAAATGAGCCCTGCAGACCACCAGGATAGAGGTGAAGGCTGGATTAGATCAGGTCCTACAAAACTCCCCTGTCACAGGAATTCCTGCAGAGGGGCTGCTTTGCAGAAAACTCTTTTCCTCAGTGCTTGGCTCAGGCTCTGCAGAACTGCCAGCCAAACAGAAAGCCCACAAACAGCAAACACACAAGTGCAAGATTTAACTACAACTGCAGCCATGCCCAGGGAAGGCAACATGGGCCATGGGAATGATGCCCATGCTGGGGAAGAGCTTCAGGAATGCAGAACTATATCCTGCCCTTGGACAGAGGCTTCCTCCAGCCTTTGGGGTGGAAACACCAGCCCTGTGAGCTGCCAGAGAACAGCAGAGACACACAAACCCCAGCACCCTCAATCCTCTTACAGCAAACACACCCAGCAGCCCATACTCACAGTCTGCATCTGCACACACAATGCAGGGGTTTTTCCCTCCCAGCTCTAACGTCACCCTTTTGAGGTTGCTCTTAGAAGCAGCTTCTTTGATCAGTTTTCCAACCTGTATCAGTGAGATAAAGAGGAGATGAGTTGTTCCCCTAAAAATCTTGAGTGTGATTCCAACAAAGGTGGAAGAGCCTGGGTGGCAACTGAAGCAGGAAGAGGTCAGGGAGAGCAGCCTGAAATGGTTTGAGTTTCCTACTGCTGTGATGTGTTGGGTCAAAATCAGCCCCAGAATTAAGAATTAGTTTAGGCAAGTCTGAAAGAACAGGCTGCGTGGAAGAGCTACACCTGTATCCTGAAGGGAAGGATTTACTCTGCTTTCAGAATTCAGTAATCTAATTTTGTTAGAAACAGTATGAATTAAAACTATTTGGGAGGGACCTTTAGTTGTTAGGGCAGGTTAATTTCTTAAGAGTGATGTAATATTTGAATTTGCTCATATTACAGCTGTTTTCTTGTATCTTACCTTTGCACATGGAAATCTTACCTTTATTTCTGACTAAAACTACTTTTGCCCTGGAGTGGAACTGTGAGAAAGGAAAGCATGGGGCAGCTGGCTGGCAATCACAGGTCTGCATTTCTCATGGTTTGCCTTTGTTACTCAAGCATGACTCCTGAACTTAAGAGAGATCACCTCTAGTCACTCAGAGCTTAGCTCTAGAGACAGCAGAAATAAGTGATGCATCCTAGCTTTGCAAAAGGCATTACTGCAGGCTGGCTGGCCAAAGAGAAGCAAATTAATAACCTAAGAGAAGAGATCTATATGGGAAAATTCTCATGGAGTTTAAGATCAGTAATTCCAAGCTGGCACTGAGCCTAAGCTGGGGTTTAATAATGAAGTCAAAATATATTTTGAATTAACTTCACTTCCTGGCTCAGAAACAGTAGCACTGTGCTGCAAAATGCTGCAAAGATGCAGCTGAACTCACAAATGGGTGGAGGGGGAAGAAAACACTTCTAAATTACACATGCATTAGGAAAGGATCTGTCTCCCTTGGTGTTTCCTGCACACCCATGGATTAGGAGACAAGCAGTGTCTACAGGAGTTTTTTGCCTACAGGCTCCAGCAGCTGAGATTTTCCTTCTGCCACTAATCCACTGGATACTCCTTTTTCATTAAAAACCCAAACAGATCCATGTGGGCTGGATGAGTATAAGCTCTATTTTTTTCACACAGCTAATGTCTCATGTGGGCTAAAAGTTTCTGATCTAGGATTTGGAGAGAAGCATGTAACTAAGTAAACTCCAAGATTAGACCAGCTATCAAGAAAATAAAAGCTCGCTGTGAACTTTTACTTTACTCTGTGTTCTGTTTGTTCCCATGATCCCTGTACAGAAACAGAGGCTTAGCACACCTTTTCCTATGGGATAAGCACAGGATGTACACAAAGCCACTAGATGGTAGTGTTGGTAAATGCTGCAGCTTTTGAGTGTTTGGAGTTACCTTTCCCGACCAAGAACACCTTTCAAGGTAATTTGTCATCATTATACATTCATATCACACTCTGCAATTACGAGGGCAGACATAAGAAGGATGAATCCAGGAAATGCTCAGCAAGAATAGTGTTCCTCAAAGAAGTGAGAGACTGAATTTGCTTCAGCTGCCCCCACTGGTTATAAGCATTTCCATTCTTTGGACACTGCCTGCATTCTGGAGATGCAGATATACTGCAAGAAACATCTAAAGCAGTCAGTGGAAGAGTGTTCACTTTTCTAAGAAAGCTTTTGTTTGAGAATTTTCAGCAGTGATTACTGCAGTCAGATTTGTTTGTATGTCTCAGCTGTGCTCAATTCCATGGTCTTGGCCAAGCCATATACACTTTTCCCATGTAGGCATGGAAGAGGATGGCTGTAGGTGATTGATAGTGCATGGTTCTTGTGGCCACTCTTCTCATAAACAAGCCAGACACATCTATTTACAGGAAAAAAAACTAAATAGAAGGTGCTTTACTGTGCAGGTCTCAGAATGAAGCTCAAATGTTAATCCCCTCCACGTCAGCAGAGAAGGCCTTGGGCATGAAGCCATGCTTTTATTTAAGTCCTAGTTCCTCAGAGGTAACTAAAGCCAAGGAAGAATTGTTCAGGGCTCTGACTGACATGTTTTCCAGTTGCAGGGCAGGACTGGCAGACAAACATGCCCAGAAGCTCCATCGGGTCAATGACATGATGTTAAGTCACTGCCAGCCTGCCCTGTAGACTGCCTTGCCTTATGTCAGAGCACCCAAGTTCTTACAGAAATGTCGTGGTTTGGCAAAACCCAGTTTCAGAGATGTGGGATTATTACAAGCACAAGGATCTGAATTAGACAGATACCAAATACTTCTGAGAAATCCTGTCACGTGGAATGTGATGGAAGAAGTGTTGGTTATACAAAAATCACTGACTTTTCATTGGTCTAGTCTTGTATGGATGACAGTTTACAAGAGAATGTGAAGAGAAACAGCAGATATCTTTGAGAAATCCATCACCTACCTTGGTTGATCCAGTAAAAGCAATTTTATCAATGCTGTCATGGGTAGAAATTGCAGCTCCAGCTGTGGGGCCGTAGCCTGGCACAATGTTCACCACACCTGGAGGGAAACCCACCTGAAACAGAGATTAAAACCAGCTCTGTAGAGAATCTGAGAGCAGAGCTCATTTCTCAGGAAGCCTGGATTAGTTGTACTATAGTTCTCTGAGCTCTTACCAGATACATCCCTGTTTTCCAGACTTTCCAGTAATATGGCTGCATGCTACCAGCTGGAGTAGATGTGGGTGAAGCTAACAGCCATGCTTAGGAAATGCCAAGTTTCAGTAAGAATTCTTGGAGAAGTCCCAGTTTCAAGTCAAAAGAGAGTGAGTCTTTCGGCCAAACTTGGCCTCCAGCTACTGCAGTGCAGCTGCAGCCAAGGGGTAAATGAATGAAAGTTTGTTTTGAACAAAGGTTGACATTTGTGGTTCTTCAGGGACCAGGGGGATTAAGAAGTCAGTAAAACCTCACTAGATGATGGGGCTAATAAAACAGGAGTACAAAAGCAGATGGTAACAAGACTTATGCAAGTTTCCACCACATTTACAACATAGATTAGCCAACTACTAATTTTGCCAAAACAGACAAATGGCAAAACTTCAGGTGAAATTCTAGTGCAAGGAGAACTGGGGGACTGACTGGTTTGGTTTTCCTTCCTGAAGCAAGAGTTTGAAGGATTATTGCTTTTCTAAGCTAGCCTTCCCCTACTACCAATAGCACTAGGTTGTTTTCCCTGCAATTTCTAATGATGAAATTGCAGAATATAACCATTTGCTTCATTTCCTATGACTCTAATACAAAGTCTCAATAAATGCCATTTCTTTTTAATAGAGAAAAAATGAAGCAATTGCTCATGTACTGTCTTGCAAAAAAATTATCCTCATAAGACTTTTCTCCCCCATTTTTTCTTTTCTTTAATTGGAAGGGCAGTCTCATTTCTTCTATGGATGTGACAATGACAAAAGTGCATTTAATGGGGTTTGCATCTTGGCTAATGAGTTTTCAAGCAAATACTGTGTGTCAAACTGTGCAAGTAATGGTGTTTGGAGTCAGCAGCAAAGCCACAAGGAAGCAAAAAATTGGTTCAGAACACCCTGAGCCAAGAAGTTTTTTTCAGTTTTTCAGCAAAAATGAAAGCCAAAATATTTTGGTTGGCCAGAAATTATTTCATTGAATGTAACACATAGATCTGTGCATGTGGTAACATCTTCTATATCCTTTTAAAGATGAAAATCAAAAAACTTTACCTCATTTTTTCTGAAAAACTGTAAAGAATTCAGCTAATTTTGGGTGGAGAAAGGATCATCTTCAAATAGAGTTATTCTGCTCTAATTGCACTTCTGCCTTTAAGGACAACTGTGAGAAACAGCAAGCTTAGAATTTCAGCTGAAAAAAATAATTTTACCAGAACTGAATGGTGTTCTTTTAGGGGGAATTTTAGGCCTGTGTTTGGGGAGCTGCATATCAGAGTCAAAAAAAGCAGTGGTGTGGCAGGACTTACTAGAAGTCATGACAACTGCACCTTGTGCTCACTCACTCATCTTGTGTAATCTCATTAAGCCAAGTAACTGTAGGAGACTTAACTGGTATTATTTTTCCACTTCCTTTCCTGATGGAAGAACCTTAAGTGTCAATTATCAATGTATCTTTCTATTTTCTCCCAGGCTAAGCCAAGAAAGAACAAAATCATCATTTGACTGAAGCTAACACAGACTTGCAGCTGAGAGGCAAAAGCCCATCTATTACTCCTTTAGTTTTCCTCAGTCAGTCACATCCATAGCTATAGGAAGCTGATGTACTGAACAGTGCTGGAAGGTTCTGTGCACCTCCCACCCTCTCTGTAAAATTAACAGACCTGTTGGCACACAAGATCCTAACTGACAAACCCTAAACCAGCATTTTAAAATCCCAACCTATCATCTTGCCTTTATTTCAGTTGACTTTACAGGCCAGACATAACTAAATTGTTCTATGAACCACAGAAATGACAAGGAATTGTTTCCCAGGGCACTCTGTCTTGGTTGAATTATCCCACTTAAAAACAACAAACATAACACTGCTCTCTAATCACACTTTTTTGTCTCATTGTCTAATAAAACTGAGCTGTTGTCTTGCTCTCATTTGGGAGAGGGGAAGACAAGGTGGGGGAAGAACAGCACCATTTTTTCTCTCTGCAGCTTCCTGAGAAAGGAGAAAAATGCACAGGTTTTATAATGTTTACCACCTCCCTGCCAGTCACAAAGGCCTTTGTAAAAAAAGGCTGAAGACAGAGGTTGTTCTCACTTTCCTTTGTGAGGCTATTAAAGCTGGAAGTCTGTTTGTTATGCTCAGACTCTTTAAAACCTAAAAATCTGGAGAGCCAATTCAAAATACAGCCTTGCTTATGACCTTAAGAGAACAGAACCTCGAGGGGATGTTCAGATTTCCTCACCTCCTTGATCAGAGAGCCAATGTAGAGCGACGTGAGCGGAGTTTGTTCAGCTGGTTTAATGACCAGAGTGTTTCCACAGCACAGCGCTGGTGCCATCTTCCAAACCAGCATCAGCAGGGGGAAGTTCCACTGCAAGAACACAAGTCACTGGTCAGATCAACCTGGCACAGTCACCTACTCACTTCCACACAGCCTTTTCCCAGCTCAGGGAAGAAAGGAACTGGGAGGAAAGCCACAAAGGGAAGAGTCTGTTTATAATACTGTGTTTGCTTGGACTAAGGAATATAACTTCCTTGATTTCCCCCTGAGATCCCTGATATTGCTGGCAATCCTCACACTAATCCTGTAAGTTGGACAACCTTCTGCATTATGTGACCTCATTCTTTAAAGGAGTTTGATCACATTTTGTGTAGGATTTTGGCTCTTCACAGAAACTGTGTTGGAGACAGTTTTCTGATGCATCACTTCTGTACAGCATCTGTATGTGGGAAATTACAGAATGTAACTACTCATTGAAGAAAACCTAGTTTTTCTCTGTTAAGCACTGGCTGAGTAGTTCTGAGTTATATAATATCATTCAGTTCTGGTTTTATAACTAGGAAAGTGCAGTGAGTTGTTCAGTCATGGAAATCTAGGGGAGGTCTTATACTCCTTTCATATTGTAAATTGTTCCTTTCCAATTAGTTTTCTAATTTGGAATTAGGAGCCAGTCCACATCAGTTTTCTCTGTGCTAATCTCTTTCATGGTCATGTGTATTTGGGGATCTTGGAGTCTAAGTAAGAAGCGGAAAATCTAGCTCACACTGAATCTCAGAAAGGTCATTTGGCAGCAGAAAGGATTTCTTCATTAAAAATAATTAATGCTGCTTCAGGGATGATGGAAGCAGGCCAACAGCAAGGGGACTTCTTGTCAAGACTCAAGCCAAGGGCCTTCAGCTATCAACAAAGCAGCCAAGTATGTCAAGAATCCACAAATTCACACTTACAAATAAATTAGCAGTGTAGCTTTTGAGCCATGAGTTCTATTCTAACTCTGAGACAAAGCAGAATTTAGTCTCAAGTGTTATTCTTCAACTTGCTTCACCCTTTTTCCCAGACCTGTTCATTTCAGTGATCTGCAATGGCCACATCCCATAATTTGCCCATTTGTCTTTTTCTCCTAAGTTTTCTTGAAGGTCTGACTGTGCAGATTGAGCCATTTACACCTACACTACTTTTCTACAGTTTCAGAGCATGAAATAGCCCCATTAGGAGCTTTCTTCTTCAGAGTGGCTGGTGAAAGTAACAGTAAAGGACTCCAGGGCTGCCTCATGATATCACCTTGGGATAAAAATCACCCATATGCTAAAATTCCCAAGAACTTCTCTGGCTAAGAAGATTGCTTTAAATATAGTCAAGCCATAGGAAAAAAGGAGGACTGTTAATTGCTCTAGGAAATCATACCCAGAACAGTGACAGAATCTTTTTCTATCAAGTACACAGCCCACAGGCTGGAGGTGTTATCAAGATCAAACTGGAGAAAAAACTGAAGATTTGTTCTGAGTAAACTGAAGACAGATGTGGTTTTGTTGACCCCAATCATTCTTTATACAAACACAAGTTAAGTCTTAAGTTGAACTTAAGTCAAATTTGGTTCTATACTTCATTGCATTTACTGCTGGTCTAGAGGTCTTCCAAGTCCCACTATGTCCCCTAGAGTGGCCTTCCAAAGCATCCTGCATGTAGGCTTTTAAAGGGATAATTTCCAAATCACTTCTGATGGTGATCAGAAAGGTGGCTGAGAGTGACAGGGAAATACCTTGTAACTGGTGATCAGAGTGAGGAACCTGAGATTTTGATCTTAAGTCATAAATTCTGCTCACCAGCAGTCACATTGCTTGCTCAGCCAGAAAAGCAGTGAAGTCATCAAGACAAATGTTTGATAACCTCCCACTTTGCCTCACCCTGATACTGCCAAAGAGACTGTGTCTTATCATCTGGGTTATAAATTCAGTCCTGCTGAAGGAAAAAGCAGAATTGCCCCAGACATCTTTGGATCTGGTCCAAACCTGGTATTCCCAGGGTCCAGCAAATCCAATGTCCCACATGCATTTCTTAACCTTATCTCAAAAGTCAAAATCCTCCATGAACTCTTATTGATCCAAGAACCATATAAACATAGAACATCCTGGATGGAAGGGATCCACTGGCATCATCCAATTCCAACTCCTGGACCTACAGAGGACAGCACCAAGACTCCTACCACAGGTTTGAGAGCATTGTCCAAACACTTCTTGAGCTCTGGCAGACTTGGTGCTGTATTCAAACAGAGAATCTTGACACAGCACCATTTGCCTCACAAATTGTAGAATATCATATTCAAAGCATTTTACAACCAGACAGGAACAAAATCTGTCTCCCATGAGCTATAAAGTCTTCCTGGCTGTCTGTTGAAACAAAGCAAGCAACACATGCTAACACTGGAGGCATTCCAAGAGCTAGCCACACTGTCCTCTCAGCAGAGAATGAGACCTCAAGGAAAAGAAAACTATTCAGTGAGATTTAATCCCAGAAAGCTCAGAGAACAGCCAGACGTAATTAATTGATCATGGATATGATTTAAAACTCAAAACTATGCATCAGCACGAGGCAGCAAAAAGCCAGCACTCCTAATGATGAGATGGCTGTCCCAGCAGTGTGAGAGTCAGAGCTCTGACTGGTCTCTGATGACTGGTGTCAGCCTCAGAGAGCAGCAGAGCATCTGATTAGGAGACCCACCCTTCCACTGCAGAGCATTTCTGTTGCCAAGAGCAATTGGCATGGGGGTAAAACACAAAACTACATCAGGCCACTGAGATGGGAGTTCCCTGCAGAACAGCTGTGCTTAAGCAGGCAGCAAATGGCTGCAGGGTAGGATGGAGTGCACATGAAATTTCCAGTTCTTTGGGATATGCAGGGCACCAGCACTGTCACTTACTGGAGTTATGGCTCCACAGACACCCATCGGCTCATGCCGGGTGAAACAGACAAAATTTTCATCTGCAAGACAAGAGAGTAAAAGGGGAAAAAATAGTCAAAATCCTCACTTTTGCAAAAAGTGTGTGAGACAACTGCACACTACCAGGTTGGGGACAGAACTAAGCCCATGTTAGAGAACACAGTGTCTATTCATCCTGACTCCTGTCTTTGGAACATCCCAGGCAGATGAAGATCTGAGTACAGGTCTTGTACCAGCTTGAAAGTCACAGTCACACAGGAACCTTTTAAAACCAGGGTTCAGTTCCCTCTGCAAATTCCCTGTGTTGAGGCTGAGGGATGAAACTCTGGAACTAAAGTAATACCATTCACCTTAAAATACTGCTGTTACTCTTTCAAAGAGAAAGCAGGAAGAACATTTGCCTTTCAAATTCATTCTTGCTGAACACCTAGTTTCATTGGGAAGATGTGACAAGAACAAGAACATTTCTAATGATGCTTTTTCTAAGTGATTTCAAATCAGGACAAACAAGCAGTGTCCAGACAAGCAAAGCTTTACACCACTCTGAATGAGGGTGACAAATCCCAGTTTATAGGACTGACACGGCTCCCTTTGCTGTCTGCACAGACTGAACGAGCTCAGCCCTCCAGAGTCCTTCCTCTGGTGACTAATTTCTGTCTACAGTATCTGTCCTTCACACAGCCTCAGTGATCACTCACATGCAGGATAAAAAGGGCCAAATTTGAAAAAACATTATATTGCCCATTGTGCCACAAGGACATCCAGTCTCTTAATTTGTTCTCACCAAAACTATATTTGAACTTCTATACCTGGGCCAAAGTGTTCTGTCTCTGTGACTGCTCTGACCAAAAGTTTCTCTGTTAAGAAAGCAACAGACAAGCCCACACATTATTTTCCAGGGATCTGTCCAGGAATTAATCAAATTCTCACATTAGTTTCAATACTGAAACATCTGCTTAAAATGCATCCTGAGATAGAGAGGAAGTGCAGGCTATATTTGCAGGTTTTCAGAAGCCAGCCTTTCCATTGATCTCCCTCCACCTCAAGCCTGATCCCAACCCAGCTCTAAAACTGGGTCTGAAGGTACTCACCCACTGGAATAGTTCTGCCCTGAATTTTATCAGCCCATCCAGCGTAATACCGGAGTGTCTTTATACAGCCTTCCAGGTCAATGAAATAAGCCTGCAGGAAAGGCTTTCCTGTGTCCATGGTTTCTAGAGTCTGGAAAAAAACAAAAAACAAGTTGCATGCACTGTCAGACAAGTGAACGTTTTGGGTTTTTTCTCTCTTAAAAAACCCTCTTCTCAGCTTTATTCTGCCTTGCTCTGAAGACATGGAATGTTCTTCCCTCCTCTTATATTTAGAGAATGAGCTTGTTAATACAAATAATAAATAATAAGAAGGGAAAACAGACAGCAACTCTGATGTGTACAGGAGTTGCTTTATTCAGGAGCTGTGCTGAAAGAGCACCTTCCAGAAGCCTCCAGAAGGTGAGTGTGGGTGGGATATAGGGCTGGGGTCTGGGGCACTGGTCAGAAACAATGTGAGCATCATGACTTCACCCTAACTGACCTTCCAACACAGATGTTCTGGAGTCCAGATGGTGTCACCAAAATCAGGCAGAGCTACTCTCCTTCAATTAGAAAAAAAAATAATCTAATATTTCTACTCCATAAGCCTAAACCAGACCTCTGAAAAGCCTCTTTTGCTCAATGATAAACATACTTTTTACAGAGTTCTGGTAAAGTAACCTTTGGGCTCATATCTATGCTGAGCCCAGGGAAAGGCAGAAGTTGCTGCACTGGTGCTGATCAGCTCTAAACAAAGTCCAGGCTGAGCCTGTGTCCTTCACACTGTTCTGGACATTAGCTCAGGGAATGCTTTGTTCTCTGCTCAGGTCATTAAATGGAATATTGGTGCAAATGGCCAGCACATCCATAAAGGAAGTACTATCCCTTGGTAGATTGAAACATCTTTGTTTACACATGAAGTCATACCCTGTCACCCTCCACAGACATTAGGGTCCAAACAGCACTCAAACAGACATTCCCCTTGGAATGGTGAGGATTGTTATCCACTGAATGTCTGCTGAAACAAGTGATTTTTATAAGTCATTGCTTAGCACACAGCCAAGGCAGCCAGGGCTGGTTTTCTGCAATGCAAACAGCAATGCCAAACAAGCCCTTCCAGACCAGAAGGACAGCAGAAAACTTGAAGTTTGTTCTGGTTAAAGGAAAAGGAGGGTGCTCCAGTCACATCAAAAAGTGATAAAAAATTAATAGGGTTTATTTACACACACATATATATTTTTTTTTTCTCCTCCCTCTTATTTGCTGCCCAGAACTGTGTTCAGAACCAAATGTTTTGGTTTTGCCCTGCTGAAACTGAAATCAGTCATGTGGTTGAAAGACACTGTGTTGGGGAAAGAGGCCCAGCTCAAAATAATCACACAGATATAGGCTCATCATATAGGCTCAGTGTGAGCACATCCCATGGGTGTCAGTTCCCACTGACCTCAGCAGGACACTGGCTCAGTTACCTGCACATCTGGCAGCATGGAATGTCATCAATGCCTTCCCCTGAAGATAAAAGTGCAGCACTGAACTGGAAAGGTGCTCAGATCCAAGAGCTTAGGTGTGGATCGCCCCAAGCTGAGGATCTGTGGGTATCACTTGGAAAGATGTGCAAGGCCTGTAGAGTCCAAAGGCTTCTACCAGCTGAGCACATTTTAGCTCAGGTTCTTATCCCTTTGTTCTGCACCAGCAGGACTCCTCCAGGACAGGATCATGGAATCATTCACAATATTTCTCCAGTGCAAAAGTCCAAGTTAATACAGCTTCACAGTTATAGAGAAATTTTCCTGAGCCAGTATCTTCAATAGGGAAAGAAGCAATTCCCACTTACACACATTTTAAACTTTGGATGATATCCAGCAAGAAAAAGATGCTCTTTCCAGCCCCGCATTTTAAGGGAAGGAATTTGCACAGAATCAAAGCCACCTGCATTTTTGTAATAAAGAATGAGTCAGCCGTGGTGGTTTGGTGTGATTTGGTTGTTTTGGTGTGTTTGGTGTTTTTTTTAATAAGAGCTGGGAGACAGCTATAAACATCAATGATTGTTAAAGCAAAACAACAAATACTGCTTTGAAAATTTAAGTAACATCTTTAATCACTCCAATAACTAGCTGAAGTTCCACAAAAGGCAACTATGTAGAAGAACTGAGCCTTCTAAGCCCCCTAATATCCTGCAGAAAGAGGAACAAAGCCATGACTCCTGTATGGACTCTTTTGCCCTTCATGAATGGAGATAGAAGAAAAATATTGGGTAGATATGGATACACCAGAGGGATGGAGCAGGGTTATGAGCCAACTGCTGTTGGCTTATCGCTGCCCCCAGTACTCACTGCCAGGATGACTCTGTCTCGCTCGAGGAGATCAGCCAGTTTGTGCAGGAGTCTTCCTCTGCTTGGGGCATCCATCTGTCTCCATGGAGAGCCCCTCTGGAATGCTGCCTTCGCTGCCTCCACTGCATTATCCACATCAGGCTACACAACACAAACACAAGAAAACCTCAGGTTACAAGGAAGGAGCTGGACAATGGCACAGAACAACCCCCCCCAGGCTGCTTCCAAGTTGATGCTGTGGTGCCCAAACCCAAGTTGTCCAACAAAACCACTTTCATTTCACTGCATTTGAATTCAAGCTGGGAATATGTTTTAGGTTTGGCCTGGGCTCATAAACAACCTTGAGGTCTGAACACCAATTGGGTCTTTCAAGGGTAATTTAATGTAACTGACTTGTTTATAAAATAATCCAGAATCATGTTCCTGCCAATACAGGATGTGACACTGGGGGAGGATGAAGAATCATGACAGGCCACTGACCTACATGAATTAGCCTCCTCTAAACAAGTGTGGGCAGGAAAATCCCCCATGAGATCAAGATTTTACCCAGGGAAGTAATTACAGCTCAGATCCCACCATCTAGTTCCCCTAGAGCCCATGCCAAGGCAGTTAACACACTAAAAATCACCCTTAGATCCTAGAAAAAATTCCCAGAACATTTCTACCAGATGGGAAAGGTTTCACTGTTCAGTGCTACGACAGATTTCCCTGCACACACTTAGTGCCATTCTCTCTTCACCTCCCAACAGCTTTACCATCTTCTGGAACAAATCCACCTCTGTTTAACAAAGTTACTACCAAATGGGGAACAAATTTCCCTATCTTCCCACACCATCACCCTCTGTGCTTCATGCATTTGCTCTGGCCACAGTATGCCCTGGACGCCTCTCTTCACCTCAGATACATTGATTAAAAAAGAGAAGCCAAGGGCTCCCAATCCAACAGAATCTATGGAAACGCTGCCACCAACATCCACAAGGCCAAGGCTGTACCCCAGGCATTGATAAAGCTTTGGAGAGACTCCTGCTGTAGGTAAGGTCTGGCACAGACCAAGCCTCACTTCAGCTGATGGAGAACTTGCACCTCACTGCAATATATGGCTTGAAGGGTGGGAAGGGAGGGAGGGTGTCAGACTTTGATCATTCCACTTCACCAGTTGCTCTCATCGATACTTTTTCTCAAGTCTTGGCTGGCTACAGTGTGGAAATAAGCCTCTGTACTGATCCAACAAGACCTGGCCACACCCTCCTCATGGTGGGGGGGATGTGTGGTGCTCAAGAAAAAAATGTTGTTGGGAGACACACTGCGTTCTTAAAAAGTTCATGGTCAAACCTGCAAGTTACCACCCAAAACAATGGCACCTTACATTAAATTTGTCTCCATTTCTTTACAAAGAAACAACACAGCTTTGAAACAGTCTGACCTATTCTCTCAGGAAAATAAATCCATCCTTTTGGAACAGCATTGATGGGAAGCCATTGGAGGAAACTTGTGCTGTCACAGTATGGCTCATGGCACAGGACACTGGTGATGCAGAGGTGTCCAGAGCCACTGAGCACACACAGGCAGGTCCTGCCTGGGGCCTATCACCCATGGGCACAACAGGCCTTTAAATGGCTCACTCTGCTGAAGTTGATCTGGAGTCAGCCTGGCACATCACAAAAGCCAGAAGGCCCCACCAGCCTCTTCTGTATCCCTCATCCTGCCTGCTGGAATGAAGACTTAAGCTGAAAAAAAGCAATATTTAATGTGACAGAGCAGGAAAAGGAACATAAGCGTGCCAGGTTTGAACAAGTATTTCCTTAGCAGCAATTAATTAGTTCTGCAACCAGGCTGGGAGCACTGATGTGCAGGGAACTGGGTCTGCAGTGGCACAATGCCCTTGGTAGTGAGGGTCTTCCCTCCACCCTGGCACGCAGAACAAGAGTGAGATGACTGCATGGGCAGAGGACTTCAATGCATGCCCAGATCTTCCCCAGTCTCTAAAAATGGGAGCATTTGGGAGTCCTGCAAATGGGAGCCCTGCTGCAACAGGCTCTCCTGTAGAGACAAAAGTAAAGACAACCATCTTTCTCAGACATTCTGGGTACAAATAGTGGCTCAGAGCCTGCAGTCACTGTCACACAGGCAAACAGGTTTTCCCTAAACACCCTCAGGGTAGCACAACCAAGTGATATCCTGAGAGCCTTTCTGCACAGCCTCAATAGGCCTGAGAGACCAGCAAAAACAAGGAAATTCTTCAGGAAGGCTGAAATGCCATTCTTAATCCATCCTGTTATGACTAGGCATTAGGGGAGTCTGAATGGCATGTTCATTGCAGGCATGTTGCAATAGGTAGGCACAAGGCGTGACAAAGTGACTCTGAACTGTCAAGGTGCCAGGAACACCCTGTGGTGCACAAAACCACAGGAGGTGGAGATCCATGCATCCTGGTGCTCCACTTGGACCTATAACAGATTTACTGAGCATTACATAAAAAGCTCCACTAAGAATATTAAGATTGCAAAGTCTTTACAGTGTTGAGAAATGCCTGCAAACCTTCATATCCACCTGGGATGTTTGAGTTATGATACAACCCCCAGTTACACAATCACATACCTTCCCCCCTAAACAAACTGAACACTGTTCTTTGTTCTAAGTTGCCTTGTCCATCTTCCTCCTCTACCTCAAGTCCAGCTCATTGCTGCTCCTTTTTTCTTTCCCATCCTCTTTTCCTCTCTCCTGTCCCAGCAGCAGGCTGCAGAGCACAGTGAAGACAGTAACTTCACTGGCTCTGTGAGTGGGGAAAACACCTGCAAAAATGCCTTGCTCTTCTTCAGTCTCAGGGTGCCCCAGAGTGCTCCAGTGAGGAGATGTGCCAGGAATGGAGCACACCCACTGGAGACCCTCTTTCTTCAATTCACCTACTGACTTCTTCAAAAAGCCTCCCCTATGCACATCTTTGGAAAGGCACTCTTCTGACATAGGGCACAAGTTTTTCAGTTAGAAAAGGTTCCCTGATCTGCTCCCCTGCAAACAGTCCACACATTGAATTGCTTTAAAGTTCCAAACTCAAATTCAAAACACCTACAAACAGCATCCTAACAGCCTGAAATGTCCAAAATCATTACTGAGGGAGTTGCAAGTTGGCTGTGGTCTTACCTCAACCTGCCACTTATAATCTGAAGGGGACAGGTTGACTGTGAAGAAATCCCTCTCACAACCCTTCAAAGATTCACACAAGAGTGAACTGTTTAGAAATTATCATGACAGAGACATGACAGCCACAGCTGTGGACCTGCTGCCCATGCTCTGTGGCAACTGAGCTGGGCACTCCTTTGAGGAAGGAGCACTTTTCTCCTGCCCTTGATGGATGTCAGCAAGCTGCTAGAAGGAAAAAAGTCTGTCTTCAAGTGTTAGGGACAGCATCAGTTTCTCCTTTTCCATTATCAACCTGGCAAACAGTTGGACATTAAGCTTTTATTTGTGAGGTATCCAGCATGCAGTGGAAACATCCACCATTTTATTTTCAGGGCTTCTTTTTCCACACAGACTTTTCTTTATCCCTCAACTGTCCCATCAAGGACAATTCTATAACTAAAGAACAGATAACAAAACCTTTGCTTCTAGGCTTAAGCATTGGCCAAGTTTCAGCACCAGACTAAACTGTCATCGCTGAGATATCAGCTGCCAAATTTCCACCCCTCACGTGCAGCCTAAGCAAAACACTCTGCATGGCCAGGGAGGGGCAGGTTTCTGTTCAGGGCTTAGGAAGGGGAGCTCTGCTCCCAGCCTGCAATGAAGGCAGAGCCAAACATTGGCAGAGCACAGCTGAAGCCAGAGCCAGTAGCAGTAACCACCACCCCTGCAGTGGCACTGGACAGCACAGCAAGTACAGAGGCACATGGGGACACCAAACATAACTCACAGCTTCCTGTGGTGACACCAGCAGACTGGAGTTACAGCCCCAGAAGGGGATGAACCAGAGCAAGGGAAGCCTCAGGGACCTTAGTTTGCCAGAAGAGAGTAGGACATAGTCAAGTGCCATCAAAAGGCAAACAGCTAGTTGGGGATGGTTGTCACCCATGACTCTTCAATTAATTCAGATCCAGGTCTAATCCCCACTCAGTTTCTTGGAAAAAACCTAGTTAGACCAAAATAATGTTTTAAAAGGTATAATGTAGAGAAGAGGCTTTCAGCACCCAAAGCACAGCTAGCTTACATTTTAGCTGCAATTTCTACAAAGAAATCAGTCAGCTATAGTGAGTATTTAGGGGGAGAGAGCTCCACTGACTGGAAAAGTTTACAGTGACCCCCTGCAAGCTAGAAGCTGACAGGGACAAATCTCAAGTAGGCAAAACCAGCCTGTTAGTTGTGTATAACAATTTTCTGTAGCCAACATTCAGAAGCAGGCACAAACTGCTCATGTAATATTCTGTAGCTGCTTGAGGAGACACTTAGCTCAGGGAACAATAACAACGTCATGGTTTCTGCCTATCAAAATACAGTTGCATCAGAGTCAGCTTCAATTCCACTGTTTACATGCCACTGCAATTAAACACAGTTGTGTCCTACCCAGTCAGGATAAAGGAATTACACATAATGTTTGGCTCTGCCTCGATGTGTAATTGCCCCATGGATGCACAGATCCCCAGTGGCAATAAGTCTTGGAGGCTGCCTCACATGCACTGGACAAGCTTGAATACCAAGAAAAAGATTTCAGTGCAGGGAGAAATGGCCACACTGCCCATCACTTACTGCCCACAGCAATGAGCTACCAAAGCCCTGGCACAGCACAGCAGCTGTGAATCACCTTCTCATGACTTCCTGCACAAAGCCAGATGTTGGCCCAGCTCTTTTCCATAGGTCAGACCAGTTGGCCCATACATGATGAGCTGCTTTGGACAAAAAAAGTGTCACATGGGATTATTCTTCACCTCAGACTGTTACTAAACCCAAGCAGTTACATCTCATGTTACTTTACAGCACACCAGGGCCAGCCAGGGACTACCAGAGCTCTTGAGATACTAAAAACTTTGGTTTTAGTGAGAGCTGCCCCATTTGTGCAGGAGACCAGAACCCACAATACCAGCTGGAAAAGTAGCACCACATCTCCAGCAGCAAGTGCTCAATGTTCCCATGACTGAGCTTAAATTCCCCCAAGTACTCAGGTTATTTGTGTTTAAAAAAGGGCGAGTTTCAGTTCAGTGTCTTCAACAGGCTGCCCTGCAGCTGGAGTATAAACCACCCCCAACATAGGGTCCAAATCCTGTCAGGGGTGTGCACACACCATCATTGCTATTTCCTCAGGCTGGCTACTTCCTTCCAGTCTATGGCACAAGAATGATGCTCAATCTCATTCCTCTGACAGTGTTCAGCAGCCAGTTCCTATCAGGGAAAGTGCCTCTGGACAGGATTGATGCCTCCCAAGCCATGTAATTCTTGGGCAGCACATCCAGTGTCCCAGACTTCCAGCTCAGGCTGGCCAGATGGATGTTGTTGTTAAAAGCCAGATTTCCCTCTGTGTGCTTCCCTACAAAAAAAATCCCCTAGGCAATGTCTTTTGCACAGTTTGTCCAACAACACTTACCTTATCTCCTTCCTCGATGTCACAAATTTTCTCCAGCGTTGAAGGGTTGTAGGTGGGGAACTTCTTTCCACTTGTAGACTTGTGCCATTCATTGTTAATGAATATCTGAAAAGAGAGCAAGGGGAGTGGGATGGGCAGGAGAAAGAAAAACTGATACAGACAAAAAAGCCCACAAGTGCTCTTCAAGGGTCCAGATGCTCTTCAGCTTCCACCCATGGCAGAGTCAAGTGCACTCAGTCTCTCTCCCAGGGGCACTGCTGGCAATACAGAATTATTTCTACAAACTTTGTGCACCCAGGTAGTTTTGAGCCAGAGGAAGGCAGAGCAAGGGTCCCACACAGAACAACACTGGGATTTGGCAGTGAGAAATGGGCAGTTTTTGGAAATACATACATCTCCATGGGAACAGCAAGCAGACACCAAGAGAAACTTGTATGGTTGAGGCAGAAGGAGCCCCTTGTTACATATTGCTGTACAATTATTACTCGGCTGTTTGTGCCCTGCCCTGGGCTACCACCACAGCTTGCTCCCCTCTCCAGCAGTGTCCGCTGGAGGCGGGTTCTGGCTCGGTTATACCTCACCATGCCTTGTCACAGGCCAGATCAAGCCTCCCACATCACTTGGAGTCATCTGTGACAAGATTTAAGTGTTTCAAAATATTGCATTTCCAGAGCAAGAACAAACAGTCCCAGAATTGCGTAACTGAAAATGCATTAAATACTGGAGTGCTGTTACTCACTATAAACAGAACATGAATACCTATATACAATTAATCGATTCAACATGCATCTTATCCACACTGTGATCTGACTTGGCAGTGTTATATTTTATAAATATACTTTAAATAAGATTAGATGAAGTAATCTTTATTAGTAGCCTGCTAGTGGCTGTAAGCTAGTACTTTTATTTGGAAGCCATCCACATTTGCAATCTTGTTTATGAGTCTCTACACACCACCAGGAGATTAATGTTGCATCTCTTACACTCGGAATTCCCACTGCTTTGGGTCATAGTTTTCTTTCCTGAAAGGACTTTTTCTTACTATTTCTGCATAAAGCATCAAAAGAGTAATTGGTGTAGAAGCTGCACTGCTGGACCCACCTGTTTCACAAAGGCTGAGAAAAAGAAAATTTCACAAAAAATGTTGCCAAGGGAAGTCACAAGAAAAGATACAATGTTAGAAATATTAACTGCAGTTTAGCACACCAGCGCTCACAAACTACCTCCGTTATACATCTTAACATTTACACATTTTAACTTCTGTTTTTCTTCATTTCCCAAATGAAGAAAAGTTGTATTATAAATGTGAGAAATCTGACAGGAACCATAAAATTGCAGTATCAGGTATATATTCACAAACTAAGCATTGGGGAGGGATACTGATTTTTCCTTTGCATTCAACACTAATTCTGTGGGAAAATGATGTTCCTACTAAGTAATAAAACACAAAAGTGACAAGACCAGGCTGTTTTAAATTTAACATATACACTGGCAACATTCTGGGAATCCACCACATATCAAGAGTCCTTGGTGCCAGGAGTTGAAATCAAATCAAACAGTACATCAGCAATTCATGTTTCATAGCCAAAATTTGAGACAAAGAATTGTGGACAGATCACTTCCATCACACACGCATGACAAGCACTAAGCTTCTCAATAAGAAAGATCTTTGTTGAAAAACTTTGCCTCTCCCCCAGCCCCATAACTGGTAGAACCAAAAATAAAAACCTCCTCTAGGCACAGGGAAGCACGCTGTCAGCTGTAAACATCTGGTGAAACTCAGAGCTTGCACAAAACTCCTCACAGCTTTATGAAAATTGACTGCTGCTCATTATTTTCTCAAATGCACCGGGAGCATCAGATCAAACATCAAACCCACACTTTTAATTTACGTTGGTTTCCATTTTAAAGATACTACCTTGACTCTTTTAGCGCTCACAGTCTCTGGCGAAACTGTGGAGCACAAACTGCGTGTTTTAAAAAGTACACGGCTGCAGGATAAGATCCCTAAGGAGTGTTTAAAAGTGTTCACAACAATAAAAATAACAAAAACCAGAACATTTGGATGTTTAAGAAGAACTCAAATGGCCGTGTCCATTTTGGACGCAGGAAAGAGCTGTTTGTGCAGCATTACGCCATTCTGCAATCAGCAGCTGCAGATCCAATTTGCTGCTAAATGACGAGTTTATCTGACAAATAAAGAGTAGATAAATTTCGGATGTTAAAAATTAATCTAGTCCAGTGATTACTCCTAATTGCTAATCTGTTTCAATACTTTGGATGCCTAATTCAAATCAGCACCTCGCTGGATAAACTATCGCTGTTCACTCCTTCTCGCTTCAAGGGAATGAGCTTCAAATTTTGTTTTTTCCTTATACTTAACACAAAAATGCAATAGCAACACGCTCATTCAGCCCCTCCAGCTCTTGTAGTCCAGGGACAAAGTTGAAATTATGGCAGCCAAGGGTCCTCAGCAGCATAACCAGCCGGGACACTTTCCCCACCGCACAAGGCGGTGGGTCAGGCTGTTGTGGAACAAAAAGCGACCCTGCAATCGCAGAGCTACAGCTGCACCGGGAGCAGGGATTTCTGCAGCCCTGCTCAGCTCCAAGCCAGCCCCACCTCTGAGGGACAGAGGTATCAAGCTCAGGAGCTTTTCGTTTATACCAAAAGGTCAGGGGCAACTATTAAAAGATAAACTCAGTGGAGAGCAGGGAGGTGAGGGTTTGTGTGGGTTCAGAGCCCGACTGCACATCCCGTGGGGAGGCCATGGAGTTGGGATGAAGAGCCACCGACACGAGCACTGCTCCTCTTGTGGAGCTGCAGGATGGCTCCAGTCTCACGGCAGAGCCTTTCCACAAGGCCCAGTCCTGCCGGACACCAGCCCTGTGCTCGCCACCACCCAAACCCACCACTGGCACGGAGCCACCTTCCCACAGGGGAGCTGTGGGTCAAGGACGCTTGAACACAACCCCAGCAAAGGCTTCCTGAGGGATAAAGCTCTCCTCGCCCTGCCCAGGCTCACCCCATCCAAATCGGATTTTGCTGAGCGCCAGCGAGGAGCTGGAGGCGTTCACGGGTAGGTTGGGAGGGGAAGATGGTGTCAGGCGCCACAGCCAGGGAGAGGAGCCCAGGCGTCTGGGGAAAGCAACAGTTTTGGTGGAGTTATTTTATTAAAAAGAAAAAGGTAGATTTCTAGCAACAGGGATTGAGGCAAGTGTTGCTCTATTAGAAACGCCACTGTCATCTGCTTGCTCAACCTCAAACCCCCATAAACCTGCTATCTCAGACAGAAGAAGGAATAAATGAAGGTAAAAAAAACAACACTGAGGGTGGAAATTTTGTATTAAAAATATAACACCTCACCGCCACCCTGACTCCACGGAGCATCGGCGACACCACGGCGAAGCCCACCCTCCGCCCAGCGCCCCACGCCTGGCGGGCTCACCTTGGTGTACTTCACCTCCAGGTTGCGCAGGGGCCGCGGCAGCGGGGGCACTTTCTTGTCGGGCTGCCCGTTCTCCACGGCACCGTTGAGGGCAGCCATCGCCCCGCCGTCGAGCCCGCGCGCCTTCTGCCCGCTGACAGCGCCCGCGCCGCCTTAA